AAGTGGGATTCCATTTTTACAACTCTGCTATACCTAGCCTTTGGATTTAGAAGTGAAAATAAAGTATCTCTGACTTTCTGTTACAAATTTGTCTCTGTCATTGAAAAGTTTTAGTATTAATCTTTTTCTAATAAAGTTATTGACTCTGAACTAGTCCCTTGTTTTAAATATGAGATACGCTGTTACTAGAGATGTTGGTGTACAGTTTTATCTGATTTGTTCTGTTTAAGACTAATTTTTATAGAATTTCCACAGTTTAAATGTTTTAAATAATGGTGCTTCAATTTGGGGTAGTTATGAATACATTTGAATTATGCTTTTAATAACAAAGATATACAATGAACTAGAATATATTTTTACATCCCTGAGAGATTTCTTTAGTAGTAGAAAATTCAAAATGTCCTTCTGACAAACACTATCATCCTTCAGCTATGAAATAATGATGTAGAAGAGCATTTCAAGAACTTTTAACTAGTTTTTGGTCTTAAAATCCTGTATCAAGATTTTTTTAACCTGGTCTTGTTGGATTATAAATGTATTTATTTCTATGTATGGGGTGTATGGTACATATAACAAGGGTTTTTTTTTTTTAAAACTGATGCTTAAGGTAATGGGGATGTGGGGGGGTCGTGTACAGCAAATTTGGCAGCACGTTTCTACCTACAGCCAGCTTGTGACTGTGTAAAAATAGTAGCTCCAGCTACATATACCATGGCAGTTCTCTGTGCTTTATAATTTTCAGATATTGTCGTCAGTTTGTAGGTGGGGAAACTTGAGTTAGTGCATTACATGACTCACCCAGTGACTTACGGCTCCATGTTGGTGGAGAAACTAGCACATGGAATCTAGGTCTCTGCCTTGTGGTCCGCTACCTTACTGTTTATGCCACTGTATTCATTCTAATAGGCATAATAATAGGCTACAGAATTTACTAAAATACCCTCCACCAAGCTTTGGGAAATAATGAAGCTGCCACTTCAGAGGTTTTGTATGAGAATGCTATGGGGACGGAGCTTTCCTGGCTTACCTAGCTAATCCTGGAGATGCGGCAGTAGATGGATGGGTTATCTCTGAATTTGTCAGAGATGATTCATGTGAGGATTAACGTAAGATGGGAATCAGTCTAATACAAAGTCGACCACCTCCCAAGCACTGCCTTGTGTAGTTTAACAAGATTTTGGTTGTAGGAATAAAGGTCATAAAGTGATAGTTTATTCTATTCTATTCCTATTCTATTACTAAGTGTTAAAAACAGAAGAAATTTACTTAAGTATTAAGGTACTTAGTCATCATGAGGGTATTAAAGTGCCAGCTTTGCTCTGCTCTGCCTCATGTAGAGTCAGTAGCTGACTGACTTTAATGAAGTACACTAAACAAGTTCATGAAGTCTTCATCGTCTTCATCTGTATGGATCACTGTTGAAGCTAATGTAGGATTTGAGGGGGAGGCCTGGTCCCTTGGGGTGTCCATGGCTAAGGTCTGGCCTTAGTTGTGGAGATCTAGAAATTGGGTCACACCCAACACCCAAAATTATCAGGCTCAAGAGGAAGTTATTCTTACTAACCAAATTCACAGAATCCAGTATAGAGGCCATGTGCTAATTTACACTAAGAAATACACATTTCTGTCATGTAGACCAAAAAGTTGTCAGTTGGCTTAATGCATCTCTTTGAAAAGCCTTTAAGGGGGAGCCAATTTTTATTAACCAGAAGATTACTTGATAAGATTGGAATCAGCGATCAGGGTTTTTTAATTTTGGAAAATTTAAGACACAAAAGTAGGAAAGTATAGTTAACTTTTATGAAAGTCCATCACTCAATGGCCATTCTTACTCTTTGTGTGTGTCCCCTGTCATTTTCAAGTAAGTCTCAGACATTTAATTTGTAAATATTTATGCATGTATCACTAAAAGATAAAGAACAGTTTATTAATTAAAATCAATTGGATGAACTTTTAGTTGGTCAACTGTAGTACTGGTCTGGTAGCTTACTTTCCATTGTGCCTCTCAAGGGGATGTGGTAATTGAGTCTGCTGTTCTGGCATCCTCCCTTCTGCAGGGTAGAGACACTGCATCATCGCCCTTTTTGTTAAGACATTTTTTCTTCAAACAGATCATAATACAGTAATTTTTCAATTTAAATTAAAACCTTTCTTGCCTTCTTGAGCTAATCATATTGCCAGCCTAGAGACGCTTACCTTCTTTCCTTATAGCATTACTCACCTGCAGGTGATCTGTCTGGTTCCTTCAATATAGTTAGTGTCACAGAGGATAACCAGCCCTATTTCTAAGGTCTGAGAACACTTTGACCGTATGTAGGTTGAGTGCAGCTACCTGATTAAAAGTTTCTAGAGATGTTAAAACAAAAATTTAGGGTGAAAGTTTTTTGAGCTTGTGTACATTCTTTGCTTCTAAAAATGCATTGTAGATGAGCTGTGCGAATGTTTTTAAACATTCTAAATGTGCATGAAACAAAAAAAAATACTTGAGAATTGTGTATATTTTCTGTGGGATGGGACTTCAGGGTTGGTTTTCAGGTTTGAGTTTGGACTGATTTTTAGTTTATGAAAGAACCCCAGGTGACTGCTTTTTAAGAATTTGTGTGACAATTGTAATGCTTGTATATGGTTCAGAAAAACAACAGAAGTGTTTAGTGATCTGTCTCTCTTCTACTCCTGTCCCTCTCTTCCTCCTCTACAGGAGCTACTAGTGTTAAGAATTGTTTTTCCAAGTGGTTTTTGTGGGGAAGTGGGGGTGAGGGATGTAACCATTTATGTATGAATCTTTTAGGGTATATGATAGTATAGCGTACGTTCTGAATCTTGCTGTTCTCACTCAGTATATTTAGAGACATTTGAGACATAGGAGATAGGAATTTCAAGTTTAAACAAGCAGTTTTCAAAAGTACATTTCGAGTAAAAGAGAATTAAATGTATTTTTCATTGTTGTATTAGATTTTTTAATTTTCTAGTTTAAAAATGCAGTTTGAGAGTTTCATAGTTGATCTGTTTCTTCCCCTCAGCCATCTCAAATAGATCAGTTGTCAACAGCTTTAAAAACGTTTAGGAACAACAGCTTTCGAAAACAGTTTGGCATAACTGTGCCATAACTTCTTGTGGCTATTCCACCCCTAGATACATACCCTAGAGAAACTCCTATGCCTGTGTGCCAGGGGATGGATGTAAAAATGTCATAACCGCATCGTTTGTAATAGAAAGAAAAGGAAATGGAAACAAACTGGAAAGACTTCAAACGTCCAACAGTCCACTGGATAAATATTGTGGTGTATTCCTATAGAGGAATTACACAGAAGTCAGACTGAACTACAGCTGCACATGTGAACAAGGAGGAATCTCAATGGTGAAAAAAGCAAGTTGCAGAAGAATACATCCACGGTGGTTCCGTTTCTGTGAAGGTCAAAACCAGGCCGTTAAATATATGGTAAATGGAAAGCAAGGAAATGATTAACACAATTCAGTACATTGGAGGGATGGAGGGAGATCATGAAGGGCAAGGAGGAGCCTTCAGAGGAACTGGTGGTGATTGCTGAAGCTGGGTGGGTGGTTTCTTTTTTAAACTGTATGTGTATGTGGTTTTGTATGTATGATATTTCTTAATAAAATTTAAATTAAAAAATGGGAAAAGGTCTTGGTGAAGGTAGTAAGTAGTAAAACATACGTAAACAATGTGTTTCATGAAATTAATCTTCAGTGAGTAGCAGATGTAAAGGGTACTGCTTCTCAAGTGCCAGATTTAGGGTCTTAATTGTAGTCTTCGAAAGCTAGAAACAGGGCCTAAATATATGTTTTCTTTGTGATACATTATTTTTATCTTGATGTTACTTTCATTTGGATGCCCGCCAGGGAGCTGATGCTGCTTCTGCTGTGTAAGCAGCTTCCAAGAAAGCTTTTCTGTCAGATTTATGCCAATCCAGGAAGGGGAGCTGCTGAGGTGAGAAGAGCCATTTTCCTGACCTGTCAGCACGTCCTTCCCTTTGTTCAAGTTACATTGTCACCTCAGAGGGGCCGCTCTTTGTCCTTGTTCTACTCTTAATACGAATACCATGAAGTGTTTAAATAATGTTTGCTCTTTAAGGGGAAAGTGGTTGAAACTTTACCCTAATCTGAACATTTTCCACTTTTTTGGCATTGGTTGCGATAAGTGTTGATGTAATGCCTCAGTGTCCCTTCGCCCTTCATCAAAGGTGACCTATGAAGAATTTGGAGGTGAGAGAACAGTGGCCTATTTCATGTGCTGGAGGAGACAAGACATTGTGCTTGCCCAGAAGGTCTCTGGTAATTAAAGATCAGCCTTAAGGTCTCAGTTCCATGAGGATTAGAGATCGTTTCACACGGGTGTGTAAAGAAGTGACAGTGTGGTGTGTCTTGTTGGAAGTTGGTAAATGGAGTCAGGCATGAGTGCTTCCAAGGTAACAAGCACTAGAAGTTAGCAAGTTGACCCAGAAGGATTCCGGGTGGTGTGGTAGGGAAGAACCTAGCACGGGGTGTGATCATAACCCACCTTGGAGCTAGTTAGTGAGGGTGCCAGCTTGGTTTTATTTTTTCACCTGTTTAATAGAGTTCAGTCCTGTATGCTGTGCCTTGGCTTTTCTGCAAGTTGTATGTTAAAAGTACCCTCAAAGATGACTTGTGTTAAGTCATAGGTAAGTTAAAAAGTGTGTAAAAAGGAAATGATGGTAAGAGATGGTTTTAGAAACTGGGATATTTGAACCAGTGTGGCAAGTGGGGTCCTGGCTTTCCCAGCTCATCAGCTCACCCTGCCCTTAATGGAGTTCATGTGAACAGACCCTGGCCATTTGTCCTGACTGAATCTCAGGAGTGCATACCTATGCCTGATCAGGATTGGGGTACAACTTTACAAACTAAACTTGCGTTGATAAGTATCATACTTACAATTTTTTTTTTTATACTTCTGTTTGTCAAAGCATTTTGAACGTACTCCCAGCCCAGAGAAGTTGCAAACAAGGAAATGTAATAAGTACACATGTGAAGTTAGCAAACTGGTACATACATCCAGCTTCATTATTTACAAAATACTAATTCCAGTTTTTTGTTTCTGGGATTTCTTAATATGTCATTTTTGCAGCATTGCTGTTGTAGCAGGGCTTCTCTAACAGAGATGGTGTGTGCTCTATCAGTTTAGAGCTTCCATTTTTCATTAAAATTAGTTCTACTTCTTGAAAGTCCCGTAGTCTTAGAATGTCTTTGTCCTTAATATGGAAAAGAAATTATATAATGGTTCATAAATACATGTGAAGTTAGGATACAGAGGCTTAATAATATTGGCCAAGCATTGTTTTCTGTCTATTCATGGTAAACTAAGTCAGCAGTTTAGAATTGTTTTTTCTGTGTGCGTGTGTCTTTTTTTTTTCCCCCAGTCCATGTGGTTGCAGGTTTCCAAAGGGAATAAAGTCCCAATTTGAAGAAAAACTTTAGGCCAGGGCATTAAAAAAAAACAAAAAACTATAAAGTATGATCATCCCACTACTTTTAGTTTACAAAGAATATACTGTTAGCCAAGGCACCAATAAGAATTGCTAAAGGCGTTTTTTTGTTTTTGTTTTTGTTTTTGTGGTACGTGGGCCTCTCTCACTGTTGTGGCCTCTCCCGTTGCGGAGCACAGGCTCCGGATGTGCAGGCTCAGCCGCCATGGCTCACGGGCCCAGCCGCTCTGCGGCATGTGGGATCTTCCCAGACCGGGGCACAAACCCGTGTCCCCTGCATCGGCAGGCGGACTCTCAACCACTGTGCCACCAGGGAAGCCCCGCTAAAGGCATTTGAAAGTTGCTTTTTTAAAAAAAATAATGCCCAAAGAAATGAGAATTTTCTTCTGAAGTTAAAAAGTGAGATTTGTATTTTGAATCAGGAAAATATATTAAAATGCCCCAAATTTTGTTTCCTGAGATTGCAAAGGCTGACTGTTGCTAAGTAGATAAGAATGGGTTTGTATTTTCTGTCCTGGGGACCAGTCAGTTTTGTAGAGATTGGAGGCTGGCCATGTTGAACTAGGGTCTTAAATGTGGGTGTTAGTTGTAATTCAGACAATTTTAAAAGGGTTGATGAATTACGTATGCAAATCTGTAGAAGCACCAGGTTGAAAATAACCCAGTTACCGTTTTTGGCTGTCCTGCAGCCAGAATTTCCAGTGTCTTGGATTTTGTTTTCATATTAGTAATGCAGGAGCTAGTGATTGGCTTCACAGGACATAATTTTACCCACCTAGAGCCCAGTCTCTATTTAGAAACTTGTAAACCCTACCTTTCTGAGTAGTGTGTTTGGTAGCTTTCTGATTTTTTCCACTTGCTCAGGGTTAATCCCCAGTTCACAGCAGCTCACTTTTAGTAGATTTTGGTAACTCAGCTCTTGTCTATCCAGTTCAACTTGAATGAAGTCATGCATTTTCTTTGTGGCTCTGAATTCTGACTTTCAGCACCAGCTCTGGATCACCCACAAATTTATTCGTAAAAGAAACAAAACATTCATTTAAAAGCCTTTCAACATCAATTATTACAGCAAAAGAACTGAATAATAAGTAGATCTGGAGCTTTTATAGGCAAATATAAACTTATAATTATCTGAAGCTTTTATTGGAATGCTGGGCAAGCTCTGGGGTGTACGCCCCATCATACCCACCAAAAGGCTTGCAGTTTGAAGCCAGGCTAGGATTTAAAATATGCAGTGGGTGATATGCAGCACCCTTGGCAATACATAGGCGTTGTTTGTGCCTTGTTGGCTATTTGTAAAGCTTCAAGGAAACGTGTAGCCCTGGGGCTCTGTATTCTTAAGAGTGTAAATCATTCTGTTGATAACCACCTGGGACTTCAAGGTGAGAGGTAGGCTGAGAAATAGGATAATTCTACCATCTTCTGGTACAGTGGCATTGAGTGAGTCTTAAAACTTAACTGTTGGGCTTCCCTGGTGGCGCAGTGGTTGAGAGTCTGCGTGAAATGGGATATGCTCTTAAGTGTAAAATACACACTGGATTTCAAAGACTTAGAAAAAAATGTAAAATTCATTCATTTTTAATATTGGTTATGTGTTGAAATAATAGTTTTGATATATTGGGTGAAGTAAATATATTAAAATTAATTTCACCTGTCTTGTTTTAATGTGGCTACTAGAAAAATTTTAATTACATATGTGGCTTACATAACATTTTAATTGGACAGTACTGGTATGGGTGAAAGGCCTTTATTCTAGAACAATGCCAAGCCATTAGACAGTGTTCAGGAGGAGGCTGTCATAATCAGACTTGCATTTTGGGGGGGAGGGACCAGAAACCTCATTGTGCTCACAAGAATCCTATGGGGTGTAGACATTATTCCCATTTTCAGTCAAGAAAATTGGTGCTGAAAGGTGAAGTAACTTGCTGGAGTTTGCTCCATTAGGAAATGGCAGCACCTGGATGTGACCTACTAATTAAGTGGGGCCCAGTGCAAAATGGCTACCCAGGGAATTGCACCCTCCGCACCTGAACACTGTGGTATCTGGATGGGGGTGGCCGAGGGACCCCAGCCCTTGTCGCTTCCCTGCTCAGTGGACCTCAGAGCAAGCCCTGCCTTGCCCGCCTGTTGCTTGAGTCGCTGCCAGGGGCCGAAGGTGACAGCAGAATGAGGGAGTGGTAGCGGTTAGAGCACGATGGACTGAGAGTGGGACCACACATTCGAACCACAGCTCCCAGTTCCCAGTCCCCCAGCACATGCTCCATTGTCCCGTCTGATTTCACTTACAGAACAAACTAAATATTAAAATTTTCGAGCCAGCGACCATAGAGCACTTAATCCCAAGCGTGAGGCCTTCATGTAGGGCCCTGCACAACTGCTCTGATCTCAGGCCCATGAAGCCAGTCCTGCTTAGGGCTTAAACCGTGCTTTTTCCACACTGCTAAATGCTCCCCCAGAAATGAGATGCTCTCGCTCAGCGCAGCCCTCTCCCAGGACAGAAATAATGTCCCTACCCCTGGGGCAGGGATCTGCAGTCTAGTCCCGTGCCCTTCCACTCTGGGCCGTGGAGGGAGCTCTGCCCTGGGCTGGGAGACAACCTTGCAGCCACTGAGCCTCAGCCCCCCAGATACCTGAACTGGAATGATGCCCTCCGCACACCTTCACTGCTCACCCCACACAGAGTGTGAGATGTCCCCCAGCTTGGCCTACCACGTGTAAAAGCGTTTAATTCTCGGATGAATCTGTCGGGTCATGATGCCCTGTGGATGGACAGGGCCTCTTAGAGGTCAGAAGGCATGCCCTTTGAAGTCGGGCAGATTTGGATCTGTTGTTCCTATGCTATTAGTATCAGTGACACCTTAGACAAGTTACTTAATCTCTCTGAGCCTGTTTTCTGATCTGGAAAATGGGATTAATAATCTCCAACTCACAGGTTGTAAGAAGGAAATGAGAAAGTGAACGAAGTACAACCCCTCCAGGCACGCAGTGAGCACCAGTGTTTGCTGGCTGCTGTTATTAATTTACAGCTATTGATACTTGCCTCCCCCTGAAAGGACCCTTGGTCTACTTGCTCTGCTCTTGACTACACCCCTGGCAGACTGGGGGAGGGCACCCTGCTCCTCCCTTCCTCAGGCCCCTCCCCTATCCTTGAGGACCATGTTGGAAACAGGAATTAAAGACTTCTCCCTCATGTCCTGTTGGGGTTCAGCCATGGGTCAGCTCTGTGGTCTGTCAGATCAGCAGCCCCTCTAGCATTTATGCTGAGCTCCCAATCAAATAAAAAGCATGTTCTAAAGCCTTAGCGCATCTATCTGCAGTGAAACAATAATATGTTCTTGTCATTGGCTGGTAAGATAGGGCAGGGTCGACCTATTTTACAGGTAGGCAAACGAAGGCTCAGGTGTGTTGTATGATTTAATTTGCACAGGATGCTGCAAGTGAAGGAAGGGACTGAAATTCAAGGGTCTCTCCTCTCTCCTCGGGCTGTGTCTATGGGGAAGCAGTGCAGGCTAACCTACCCAAGGGCCCCTGGGAGGGGAGGCTTTGCTGGTACAGCCCTCCTTGGAAAAGGTTAGCAGATATTACCTCAAGGGATGAGAAAAGCCAAACAGTATCTCGGATTGAACAGACTGCCCCTCCTCCCCAGTTCTCACTCCCCTTTCTCCCAGCCCCTTCCTCAGCATCTGTGAGTGACAAGAAAGCAGGAACACCCGGGCCTGTACCTGGGGGGGACTCCGCCTTGGCAAGGATCCTGAATCCCTGATTCCAAATATTGAAATGGAGGAGGCAGGAGCTGGAGCAGGAGGTTCATTGAAGGGTGGATGGGGCTGGGCAAAGTCCTGGGCAGGGCTGCTGTCTCAAAGGGCTGAAGGTAGGAACTCACATGTTCGGGGTGGCTCTCCCATATCATTTAACCCTCCAGTGTCAGAGGACAGGGCATTGGGTGGGCCTCAGCATCATAAGGCTAGAGGGAACCTCAGAGATCAGAGCCCATAGGTTCTCAAACTTAGCTGTGCGTTGAAATCACCTGCAAAACCTTAAAAATTGTGGGTGCCTGGTCCTACCCTCTGACGAGTCCTACTTAGTTGGTCTGGGGTGCAATCTGGGCCCTGGAATTTTTAAAAGGTCACCAGCTGATTTTATTTATTTATTTCTGCGTTGGGTCTTCGTTGCTGCGCGGGGGCTACTCTCCGTTGAGGCTCTAGGCGCGGGGGCTTCTCTGGTTGTGGCGCACGGGCTTAGTTGCTCCGTGGCATGTGGGATCTTCCCAGACCAGGGCTCAAACCCGTGTCCCCTGCATTGGCAGGCAGATTCTTAACCACTGCTCCACCAGGGAAGTCCTCCCCAGCTGATTTTAATGTGTGGCCAAAGTTGAGAATCACTGATTTGACCAGACTTCTTAAGGTGCAAATGGGGAAACGGAGGCCCAAGGCAGGGAAGTGCTCCCTGATAGTCACAGGGGCAGCCGGGCACAGGCCCGGGGCTAGATGTGGGCCACCTGGTTGCCAGCCTGACGCAGCCTCCCCAGCATGCCTGGTGCCCATCTGCCAAGAATGCAGGAGACCCCCCCCCACCCCCCCGGCAGAGAGGAGGAAGCAGCACGGGTCTGCCTGGCCTGACCTCCTAAGGGAGGGAAAGAAAATGCACTTTGGCCAGCCCAGCTGCTAGGGTGTGTCAGCCATAAACAGAGCCCACTTGCACCCCTCACCTGGGTGGATGGGGCCACGAGGGCAGAGGTGAAAGTGCCTGTGCTTCGAGAGGGAGCCTCTTCCGTCCCCACGTCGCTAGCCTGCTCTGTCCATTCACTCGCCCACTCCCCATTCACTGGTTCACTTATGCACGTGTTCTCTCCACAAACCTCACTTTTTCTTCTTTTGGGGGACCCTCTCTTTTCTATTTTTTTTTTTTAATTTACTTTTTGGCCGTGCCGTGCAGCTTGCAGGATCTCAGTTCCCCGACCAGGGATTGAACCCGGGCCATGGCAGTGAAAGCCCGGAATCCTAACCACTAGGCCACCAGGGAATTCCTCTATTTTTAAATTTTTTAAATAAAAGTATTACATGCTCTAGTGTAAAAAGTCTAATGTTAAACATCAGGAGGACCCAGGGCTTCCCTGGTGGCGCAGTGGTTGAGGGTCCCCCTGCTGATGCAGGGGACACGGGTTCGTGCCCCGGTCCGGGAAGATCCCACATGCCGCGGAGCAGCTGGGCCCGTGAGCCATGGCCGCTGAGCCTGCGCGTCCGTGAGCCTCTGCTCCGCAACGGGAGAGGCCACAACAGTGAGAGGCCCGCATACAGCCAAAAAAAAAAAAAAAAAGAAAAAAATCAGGACCCATTAACAAGCAAGAGCAAAATGCTTGTTGGGAGGCAGCCACATAGGCCTGGGTGTGGGTGTTTTTTCATTCATTATGCTGGGCAATTAGTGGGCCCTTCTGTTTTCATATTAGCTTTTGTGTGGGGGTCGGCGTATAGCTTTTAATTTTGATATAGTTTCAGATTTACGTAAAAGTTGCAAGAACATGTGCCCTTTACCAATGGTTAACATTTTGTCACATTTGCTTTAATATTCTCTCTCTCTTCCCTGGTATATATGCGTGCATATGTGTATAACACACACACACACACACACACACACACACACACACACACACACACATTTTCCCCAGGAAGTTTGAGAGTAAGTGCTCATTTATCACTAAAGATTTCAGGCTGTATTTCCTAATACCAAGGGTATTCTCTTATATATCCAAGATACAAGGATCAAGATCAGGAAATCTAACATTGATATAATGCCTTTAGCTAAACCACAGTCCATAATCAAATTTTATCAATTAACCCAACAATATCCTCTTTAGCTTTTTTTCCCTAGCCCAGGATCCCATTCAGGATTATGCATTGTACTTAATTTCCATGTCTCATAAATTTCTTTAATCCAGAAAAGTTCCTCAGCCTTTCTTTGTTTTTCATGACATTGACATTTTTGAAAAGTCCAAGCAAGTTATTTTGTTGTTTGTCCCTCACTTGTGTTTGTCCAGTGTTTCACTGTGATTAGGATCAAATTATGTGCTTTGGCAGGAATAGCACGGAAGTGCTATGTCCTTCCTAGTGCATTATAATGGGAGGCACATCTTGGTTTGTTCCATCTTAGGGAATGGTGACTTTAATCACTTGTGAAAGGAGGTATCCGCCAGGTTTTTCCATTGTAAAGTGTGTCCTTTTCCCTTTGTAATTAGTATGTAACTTATGGGGAGATACTGTGAAACCGTACAGATATCCTTTGTTTAAAATTTTATTTTATTTATTTATTTTTGGCTGTGTTGGGTCTTCGCTGCTGCACGCGGCCTTTCTCTAGTTGCGGCGAGTGGCGGCTACTCTTAGTTGTGGTGCGCGGGCTTCTCATTGCAGTGGCTTCTCATTGCAGAGCATGGGCTCTAGGTGCGCGGGCTTCAGTAGTTGCAGCACTTGTTCTCAGTAGTTGTGGCACACAGGCTTAGTTGCTCCGTGACATGTGGGATCTTCCCGGACCAGGGATTGGAGTCATGTTCCCTGCACTGGCAAGCAGATTCTCAAACACTGTGCCACGAGGGAAGCCCCAGATATCCTATTTCTTTTTCAAATCTTCACTCTTTAGTTTCCAGAATCCACTGAGGATATTGACTTGAATCGATTGTTACTGTGATGATTGCAAAATGGTGATGCTCTGGTTCCATTATTCTTTCTACATTAATTTGGTATCCTATTGTAAGAAAGCGCTTTCCTTCTCATTCATTCATTATTTTTTAAAATAAATTTATCTATTATATATATATGTATATATATATTTTTTATTTATTTATTTTTTGGCTGCGTTGGGTCTTCGTTACTGCACGTGGGCTTTCTCTGTTTCCGGCGAGCAGGGGCTGCTCTTTGACGCGGTGCACGGGCTTCTCATTGCAGTGGCTTCTCTTGTTGCGGAGCACAGGCTCTAGGCACGTGGGCTTTAGTAGTTGTGACATGTGGGCTCAGTTGTTGTGGCAGGTGGGCTCAGTAGTTGTGGTACACGGGCTTAGTTGCTCTGCAGCATGTGGGATCTTCCCAGACCAGGGATTGAAGCCGTGTCCCCTGCATTGGCAGGTGGATTCTTAACCACTGCGCCACCAGGGAAGTCCCTCATTCATTCATTATTATCAGTGTGGACTCGTGGATTCTTGTTTTATTCAATGAGTTATAATCCATTATTACCATTATTTATTTTGATGCTCAGATTATCCCAATTATGTACAGTATCTGCTTACAGCTGTTTCCCATATCCTGTCATCCTTTCACGTACCCATCATTCTATGAGCACTTTCTTACTTCCTGGTACATCAAGATGTTCTGTGTTCAACTTGTACTTTCCCTGCCCCAGCCCTGGATTCTGTCACTTCTCCAAGGAGCCACATTTCCTTTCAGTGGGGAATCGGTGTACGCATTCCTATGCGGATTCCAAGAAGAATGCTTCTAGACCCTTTTAGTGGACAGAACTAGGAACACGCATACACGCATTTGTCTGTACATATTTCTGTGTATATATATATTTAAGACCACAAGTTCATACTGATACTTCCAATTCCATTTCAAAACCAAAGGGTTCTCCCTAGCTTTCTCCAGTTCCATTTTATAGCTCTCTTCTCCAACAGTGGGAAATCTGGCTTTCCTAACATCTTTAATATATTTACTCATTCGCTCAATCTGACAGTTACACAGGCCAAGTAGTTCCAGAATTGCTTACTTGAAATACAGTTGGGTTGATTGTTTGTAATTGCATTTTAGGGTTCTTCCCAATCCTTACTGATAATTTGAGTATATAAAACATTATCATGATTCTAAGAGTCAAAACTATACAAAAATTTATGTTTAGAGATGAGTCACTCGACATTTCCATGCCTTCTATCCCCTGCAGGAAAATATCTCCTCAGTTCCTGACTTATCCTTCCCGTGTTTCTTTTTGAAAAACAGATATATGTGTATTTCCTTATTATTCCTTTCTTACAGAAAAGGTGGTGTAAACATTCTTTTCTACTGTGCTTTTTTTTTCCACTAAACAGTGATCTGGAGATACTAGTAAGTTTCCCTCCATGAATGTTTAACCATTTTGCACTCCCATCAGCCACACATGGGAGCACTTGTTTCCCCACAGCCTCGCCAGCAGTGTTGTCAAGTTTTGTAACTTTTCCGATCTGATAGTAAGAGATGAAATGTTAAAATCTAGGTTTTATTATCATTGAGGTATGGTGAGGCCAGCAGATTAGGAGACAACTGATGTTAAAAAGGTGGTTTGTTACTCAGTTCCC